AGGCGCCCTTCGGTGATTTATTTTTAAACGATTTGTGATCCAGCATTTTGCTGCAGTGCTCAGGATGAGAACCCAGTCCATGCCATTATCTTGTTTACTAAAATTGTGAGCGGGGTGCTCTAGAAAATACAAGAACACATTGGCAGATAGTAAGTATAAACATAGTTGACCAATGTCTGTTCAGGCAGAGCGCGGAGGAGTTCAGACCTCTGTCCACTGTCTCTGCCCTTGAGATGCTGACCATGCTCAGTTCGGAGCAGACCACATCGATAAAGACAAATGTGTAGAAGGCAGGGAGGTGACTGACCTGAAAGTATATACAGATACAGAAAATAAAGAGTGCTTGGCTAGAGAAGGAGGGTACCCAAGGATGTTCAAGTCCATAAAAGGTTGTCTTGTGAAAGGGGGTAGTCTCGTTGGATGGGATGGAGGATAGAAAGTGATCTAGAGACTGAATTTAGCTCAATACAAGGGGAAACCTTCATGAGGGATATGCGCTGTCCTAAGGGAGTGGATTTCTGGAGGCTGGGGAAAGGACCAGCCAGACCCTAAGATTCTTTTGTTTCCTAAGTGTGAAGGCTGCATTTGAACCAGTACATCGTTTTACTCAATTTACCAAGCATTTTCCCACGATTGTCACAAAAGCCATATTCAGTGAACAGTGTTAGTGTTACGATTGCCCCCTCCCCCGTACCTGATGATGAGACTGAGGCTATGAGAGCCAACTGGGCCAAGGCCGCGTGGGCCATAAGGGCCAAGAGGGGCATGGGACCTTGCCCGTTGGATCCCATGGGCTGGAGCCCTTATGGGCTTGTAGCTGGGGTGAGACCTGGGAAGGCAGGCAGGAAGGCAGGCAGGAAGCCAGGAGACAAGCCTGGCTCACGTCAGGCATCATTTTGGGCATAATCAAACCCAATGGGCTACTTTTCTTAAGAAAACAGAGTAAGTTGATAATTGATGAGTGCATGTATTGATTGGAGCCATTGACCATCCTGCTGTGAAGATCTGAAGGAGAAAATTTAGAGGAAAGATTACACCCTCAGGGCCCTGGGGGGCAGTACCCCGGAGTAGCAAAGAGTGTGGGTACTGGCTCCTTTATTAGGCAAATTACTCAATCGCCCAAGCCTCAGTGGTTCTTATTTATAAAATGGGGATAATTGTGCCGGCTTTATATGCTATAGATGAAAAAGGGCAACACAGAGACAAAGTCCTCCATGAATTAGGCTGTTCTCATGGTTGTTCTTTTTTTCTTTTAAGGTTTTATTTATTTATTTGGGGGAGTGAACATGAGCAGAGGGAGAGGGAGAAGCAGACTCCCCGCTGAGCAGGGAGCCCGATTTGGGGCTCGATCCCAGGACCCTGGGATCATGACCTGAGCTGAAGGCAGACGCTTAACCAACTGAGCCACCCAGGCAGGCACCGCCTCCTGATTGTTCTTACTGTGACTTAACAGAGACATGTACATAGTGTCGGGAAGAGTAGTAGTAATAATGGGGATGACGTTAGTAACAGCCCCGGCTTTCTAAGCATCTGCTGGGCGTTGGGCGCCATGAAGACCCTGGAATGGGACAGAGAACAGCCGCTGGCGCCAGGGGTGCCTGGTCAGTAGGGGAAGCCAGGGGGCTGTTGGAGTCCTGGAAGAAGCATCCAGCCCTCCTGGGGGTCTAGGGGCAGGAGACTCATCCGTTCCTATATGCATCAAGACTTTCTTGAACACCCACTAAGGGCCAGGCCCTGCGTCAGGACAGAGAACATTCCAGATGGAAGTAGTGACCGAAGTGGCAAGTGCCCATCTCCTTGCCTTGCTAAGGGACGCCTGCCTCTTTCTTTGTTTTGTTGAGCAGTTCCCACTCCTGTGGTCAGGCAGGCCGGGTGGAGGGGTGAGCTCTTGAGACTGGCTTCCGGGAGAGAAAGTCCGAGAAGTGGGGGAGGGGCTCATCCTGGACTCCAGTCAGATCCTGGCGCATAGTAGGTGCACAGGAAATGGGCGTCCTCATCGTCCTGTGTGAATGAAGCTCGGCATTTTCGCTTTTAGTCTTAGCAGCTTTTCAAGAAAAAGCAGAGCTTGGTAGAGGGTTTGGCTCACCTCCAGTGTCGCAGGCAGGGGTGAGCTGCTTTGTAGCGCGGTCATAGGAGGGGGTCAGGAAAACAGGGAACTTTGCCCCAAAAACCTTCAAGGGAGGAGCCGTCCTTCCTGCCTTGGAGGGCCTGCTCCTTCTGCCCTCACTGAGGGGCCAGGAGGGGTGGAGGGTGGGAGCCGAAGTCCTACCAGCACGTGGGTTTAGGTCCTGCGTGGGATAGGCCTCCGCTGTCCCCTTCAAGGTCCGAGGCACAGCGGGTCCGCTCGGATGCTGAAGTGCAGCCTTTCCCAAACTCTCAACGTGCCTCCGTGCCTTGAGTCACCTTGTCAGCATGCTGATTCGGATTCCTAGGGGCAGCCTGAGATTTTTGCATTTCAGACACGCTTCCAGATGATGCCTAGCCGTGGACCACCCTTTGAGAAGGAGGGTGGCAGCCAGCCGGTGTCCCGCCTGCATTCACTCAGCACTCTGTCACATGCATGCTGACGAAGTGCTACCTTGTGAGGTGCCGCTCTGCCCCAGGCTTTCTCGGGGCACCAGAGCCTGCGTGGCCGGGCCCCGCCCGGAGAGGTGGGAAATGCCCCGAGGCCCTCATCTGCAGCAGGGGATCACTGGGGCGTGTCCTACCCTGTCTCCTGGGGTCCTCGGTGAGGCTGAGCCTCAGTGGCCGACAGCAAGAGCCTGCTCACCTACTCAGGAACACACTTGTTACTGGTTTTCTTCCCCATGCCTGGTCCTGGAGAACCCAGGTGCGGGTGTGGTCCGTTGCAATCCCTTCCGCCCCTCAGAGCAGAAGGGGAGTTCACTGGAAGCTTCTCAGGAGGCTCCAGGAACACACTGAGAAGCCAGACAAGGGCCAAGGGAGGCCCGGGGAAGTCCAGGTGCAGGAGATGAGTGGTAGGCCAGGGGTTGCCCACACCCCTGCTGCCCTGACCACGTGGCATTTGATCAAAGCCTCCCGTCGACTGGGCCTGTGTTACCACCAGACCATGCTTCGACCTCCAGACCGGGGCGAGCAGGAGGACCTGCCCCACTTGGATATCCAGAGCGGGGGTGGGCACAGGCCTCCTCTGAGAGGACTCGCAATAGGGGAGTTACTTACACAGGAAGCAGGGGTGGGATGCAGGGTTGACTTGCCCCCAAAATGTTCCCTGCAGCCATGTCCGGCATCAAGTATAGGAGTGTCGGTCTGGGGGGTAAAAAGGGACACTGTTGACAGAAATGCTGAGCAGTGACTGGCCTCAAAGAGACCGTCCCCTTGGGCCATCTGGCTTGGTGGCCCTGGAGGAGGAGGTGGCCTGAGCCCTTAACTGGAGGCACTCCTCACCCCAAGTTCCTTTAGGGCAATTGGCAGTTGAAGGGCTGGTCCCTCCCATTCAGTAGACAACGTGATTTTACTTTCAGTGGCCCTCATTGCTCTAGGGGACTCCTCTCTGGTCCCAGGGACTGAATGGACTAGCTGTACATTCTAAGAAACAGCCAGAAAATCACCCCTGGCATGAATGAGATCCAAGTCCTCGTGCCATTGAGTTACCGTTACTCCTGCCTTCCTCCTGCCTCTCCCGAGCAAGAAGGGCCCGAACCGACAGGAGCACAGGACCAGTGGCCGCCCCCACCCCGCTGGGAGGACAGGCAGGAGGAGGTGTGGGGGGGAAAGTGCCGGATGGGGCCCTGATGAAGATCACTGCTGGGGCTCCGTGAGGGTGATGTGTTGACCTTTGGGGAAAGGAAGAGGCCGTTGAACTGGGCCTGTCACCTTGGAGGTCTCCTCTCAGGACTCCGGCTCTGTGTCTGACTTTTTATGTTTCAGTCAAGGCCTGTTTCATGGTAAGGAAAAGGGACCAGCTTCTCTACTTCCTGTGCTCGTTCATACCTGGGAGCCTCCTGTGCTCATTCATACCTGGGAGCTTCCTGTGCTCGTTCATACCTGGGAGCTTCCTGTGCTCGTTCATACCTTGGAGCTAATTTGTTGGGTCCCACCAGTCTCTCAGGCCAGGCCACATAGATTGGTAGCCAGTCTGCGCTTGTGTGCCCTTAGATGAGCCCATTTGAGGTCCTGTCTACCCTGCAGGCTGGTTAGGCGTGTCAGATGGTACCAACATGTCTGTCTAGACAGCAGGAGCTGAGGGGTGGGGTGGGTTTCTGGAAGGCCATATAGACCCAGGGAAATAGCAGATCTCTCTAGGAGAGGGCCTCACTCCTGGGGAGGGATGTTAGTGTGGCGTGGCCACACCTGCTTTTGCACCTGCTACTGGGAGACTCTGAGGTATTCGTTTTCCAGGTGTGGCCAGGACCACCTCACCTGCATCCCCATCCAGGAGCGTCTGGCCCAGGGCTGACCACACCTCTGCTTCTGAGGGTACTCCTGCCGCCCTGACCAATCCTCACCCTCCCTCTGTTCTAGAAGACAGACTGTAGAATGTCATCCTACAGTCTTGGAAGGTGGGATCCAGAAATTGCCATTTGTCATGAACCTCCATCCGGATGCTGCTTATGTAAAAAGTTTGAAAATTCTTGTTTTCATTCTTTTCGAGGTGCCTGCTAGAGGCAGAGACTCAACACTCCCTGGGTTCCCAGCAGATCTACAATAAGGAGTCTTCCTTCCCCAACACCTAGAGGAGAGCTTCTGTTGTATTTTCCCTTTGGAGACAGAAAGACTCAAGAGCTGAAGCTTGCTCGGGATAGATTTCAGGAGGATGCTGAGCCCAGAGGCGGGGCCTGGCCCAGGGCAGCTGGGGTGGGCTGTTGCCATTAAGACAGTTGAGTGAGGATTGTCCGACTCCCTGGCCTGAGGCTGGCCCCGGGGCACCTGGAAAGGCATTGAGTCGCGGGGCCAAAGCCAGTGTTAAAATGCCAGAACTAGTGCAAACACCCCTGATGTTGGACAGCCTGACACCTTTCCCCTTCCCTCCCCCATAGGTGTGCGCCTTGACCGAGTGCGTGGAGGCCGCCAGAAATACAAACGACGGCTGGACTCTGAGAGCAGCCCGTACCTGAGCTTACAGATTTCTCCACCCGCTAAGAAGCCATGTAAGTGCCAGGGTAGCCCGTGCCCCTCTGTCCGCATCCGTGCCTGGAACGTCTGGCATCCTTGGGGGCAGTGCCACCTTCCCACTGCTGGGTCTGGGATAGTGTGCATCCTGGGGAGGTGGCCTCAGTGCTTGGCTTGGTGTTGGGTGCTTCCGGCTTCATTTAGAAGGCCTTTCCATGTGGGATATGATTCCAAGTGAAGCATGAACCTACGAAGGCATGAACCCCAGCATCCAGAACATGCCCCCCTCACCTCCCACTCAAAGCAGGGTCCTCTCGAGAGAACTCACCAGCAGCTTCCCTTGGAAGGATATTTGTCAAGAGCCCAAATCACCACTGCCAGCAGGTTGTGGAGTCAGAGAGGGAGGGGAGATGACCTACTGGGACTCCCCAGAACCCAGATTTTCTTCCTGAGCCATCCCAGGCTGCACCCTGGCCCCTTCCTCTTTTCCCCAGCATTTACATACCTCCTCTGGTCATTGGCAGTGACCAAGATTGTCTCCTACCTGCTGGTGGCCGAGCCGGACAAGCTGTATGCCATGCCTCCCCCTGGCATGCCCGAGGGTGACATCAAGGCCCTGACCACTCTCTGTGACCTGGCAGACAGGGAGCTCGTGGTCATCATCGGCTGGGCCAAGCACATCCCAGGTGAGTCGAGTAGGGCCAGGAGGAGGGTGGAGCCAGGGATGCTCAGCCGCTGTCCCCACGGCCATGGTCCTGACGCCTGGGAGCTGGGGACCCAGGAGCCATGTTTTCTTCTGGGCTCCTTTTCTCTCCTTGCGGGATTGGAGGTGAGCAGGTGTGGGAAGGTCCAGTAATGCTCTTGAACCTCTAGCAGCTCTTCAGAACCAGTTATCATTGTAGAGGGGTGATGATTGCATCTACGCTAGGTTAAGATTCAAAGAGCAAGTTTTTTTGACTCCTTGAAGGCCAAAGAAGGGTTTTCTCGTAGATCTTACTGGAAATGCACTAGGAAACAATGCAGGAGAGAATGGAGTCTCTTGCTTCCTTGAGAGGCCAGTGGACTGGAGTGGTTAAGGACACGGGCTGGGGAATGGGACTGGGATTCAAGTTCTGGGTCTGCATCTTACTAGCGGTGTCACCCTGAGCGGGCGAGCCCCCCGTGAATAGGGAATAACAGCAGTGCTCCCTGCGTGGGCTTCGATGAGGAAGAGAACTGCAAGGATGAGTGTGCTGTACGGAGGATGCGAGTGTTTGTTGCAGACTCACTGTTGCCACATGCCTGATCGTGAGGGCGGCACAGAGAGTACGTGTAATAAATACGCTTCAGGTGATACGGACTTCATTCACCGCATGTGGCCCAAACCTGTCTTCAGCTTCCTCCTTCTGGATAAACGGTGGAAGCTGATTTTTAGTTTTATTTTTGTAGACACCGATACCCACATATGTTGCATTACACACATGTTGGGGAGTTTTCCAAAGCCCGTGTGGTTTATTCCTCGTTCGGTTCTAACAGCTTGTCTTGTGGTGTGGTGGGGACATCCTGGTTTCCTCTGGCAATGACCCACCGTGGACTTGGATTCTTACTAGCTCTGTGCCATGGGGCAGTTTATCTTCCTGCCTACAGATCCTTCTTGTGTTTGTCGCCAGCTCTGAGAAATGAATACAGCATGCATGGGAATGTAGTAAAGGTGTCCTAGACTTTAGATGGCAAGGCCTGCAGTTGATTGGGGTGAGTCAGGATGTCCTCATCTAAGACATGTGTGCACAGCCTCCAGGAGGGAGTCTTCCTGCAGACCAGGGCTCAGGAGGTGATGTTGGTGTCACTTAGCTGGGAGGACACATAGAATTCTTTCCGTAGGGACTCCCTGGTGGCCGCTGGTATTCTGACTCAGGGTGGGCTCACGGGGGATCTGAGCTGGAGCGCCCTTACTAAGGAGCTCAGCCTCTTGGATGACACACTCAGTAGTTTTGAATCTGGCCTGTGCTGATTCAGCACAGATGTGGGGTCAAGCCACTGCTTAAGACACCTCAGCCTGGATTGCTCCACTAACCCAGGGCCAGATCTGGTACAGCTCCCCCTGCCCCTCCCCAGCATCACGCGCTCCTCCTCCCTGCAGCCCAGCAATGGCTCAGCAGTGGCTCCTGGCGGCCCCCCAGGTCACTGCTTCCTTCTGCCACCAGTCCCCCTCTGAGGGGAGGCGTGGAACCAGGAGGCGCTGTCTCCCTTTCACCCACTCTTCTCCCACGTCTTCCTGCCCCCCAGCTCCGTCTCCCATCAGTGCCCGCCAAGAGGGCAGTGGGCAGAGCAGGGTGGTTGTTAGGGGCACAGACTTCGGATTCAGGCCGACCTGAGCTCTGATCCCAGCTCTGTCCTTAAGGGCCTTGCAGGGGATCTCATTTTCCTGAGCTTTAGTGTCCTAGCCTGTGAACCCGTAATAGAGGGTACGGCAGACTCAGTCCAGCCCCTGCACACAGTGGGTGCTTGATAAGTGGCGGGACTGGGACCGTGTCATTGTCTTTGCTAATAGTATGAAAAGCCTCCTTGCCCATCTTCATTTTTCCTTGTCCAAAGCTGAATTCTTTTTGATTAAAAAATAAAATAAACATAGGGGCTCATTTGTCTGTCTGAAACACTAATTTGCCTATTTTGCATAAATTTGCATGCTGGATTATTTGGGCCTGACCTTCTAGTGTTTAAGGTAAAATTAATTAAGAGTCTCCTGCCACTGTATGTAAACCTCATATTAGGGGCGATGACATATCAAGTGCCTGATACATTGAAACTAATCGAGTTAATTCCATCTCAGATTAGACAGAAAACTCACCTGCAGACCTGCTCACTAGTCCTTAGAGAGAGGGGGAGAGAGCGAGCCAGAAAGAGCAGGTTTAGCAGGGTAGGTACAAGCCAGGGTCCCCCCGGGACTGCTGACAGCTCCTTCCCATCCTGCCCTGGACCACAGAGGGACTCGCTCCTTAAGGCGGCTCAGGTTAGCGCCCAGCCCACTGAAGCACAGGAAGCCGTATCCCATGGCTCAGTATGGACTAGCCTGTCAGTATCTGTTCGGAGCCTGGCACAGAGGGCCCTTCATTACTTGCCTTTGCATGCATTTATTGAGCATTAACTATATGTAAGGTCTCTTGTTAGGAGTTGGGGCTGATATAAAGAATTCGATTAATTTCTGCCCCAAGGATCTCATTTGGGAATAAGATAGATAATTTTTTAAAAAAAACAAAATACTTTTTCATGGAAAAGTTTAAACATACAAAAAGAGACCGAATGGTATCAGGAACCTCCGTGAACGCTATCTCCCCACGGCCCGTCACACTTCACCTCTACCCTGTTTGCCATCTCCTGTCCTGCACACTTAGAATGCAGCAGGAAGAACCACGGGACAGGGGCCCCAGGCAGGAGGGATGCCAGGGGTGGCAGGGGCAGAGAGCGGAACCTGAGCCAGGCCTTCAGGACGATGGGCGGTGGCCATCAGGAGGGCATCGGGGCGTCATGAATGCAAGTTTTCAGGCTGAGCCCAGAAGCTGACCTGTGCACACGGGCACTGAGCGACCAGCGTGGCCAGGAGGAAGGATCATCTGAACACACACTCATTTCCCAGCAGCCGCTCCTTTGACTCCTGTTTTTGAGCACATAGGACACTGTCCCACGGGTGACTTCCGTGGGCAACTGGGGCTGATGGCGACTCAGAATAGCGGCCGTTCGTTCGAGTCCGTCCGCAGTTGCCCTACGCCGCACGCAGGCTTTTACCTTGAGTGAATTTACCGAGTCCTGCGTTGCTCAGCGGACGAGCCCAAGTCTTTAGACTCCCCTGTCATGTTCCCCGTGAGCGACACGTGTGCCCCAGAGGCAGCAGCCTTTAAGAGGCAGTGGGTATCCCTTGAAGAACTGCACCCTCCAGACGTTACTAGCCGGTCATCCCGCCACCCCAGGCGGCCCGGAGGCTGCCCCAGCCCAGGCCCTCTCCTGCCGGCCCTGCGTGGCCCAGGCTGACAGGTGCACAGCTCTGCTGGGGAGCCCCCAGACGCCTCCCACGGAGGGTTCCTTAGCGGCCCCGCTCCCAGGTAGCCGCCGTCTGGCCCCCGCTGCGGGGAGAACGCCAACGGCCAGTGAAATATGAGCTGCCGAGTGACAGCAGCTGCGTCTGGAGTGGCCTCAGATCCTATAATTACATCTCCCTTTATTACCGCTGCTAATGGCCCTCCAGGTCGGCAGAAACGATAATAAATTAACAGATTATGAACTCCACTTGCCACAAATTATGTGCTCTTTTTTTTTTTTTTTCTTTCTTAAATTCTAGGAGCTCATGCTCTCAGATCACTGGGGGATGGGGGCTTGGGACGAGCCTGAATGTTATCAGATCAGTTGGTGCAGATAAAGCAGCTTTGGGGGGGAGGGCAGCAGAGCTCCAAGTGGGAGACCTGGGGAGATGGGCAGGGGCAGCCAGCTTGGGCAGCGCAGGACCTCAAGGGGGCAGCGCGAGATGCCCAGGGGCCTGGGCCACACCGGCCTCTCTCAGCAGCAAGCCCTGGCCCAGAATTGCTGGATGCTTGATGGAGGAGGAGACCCAGCCCAGCAGAGAAGAGCAGAGGTGGAGGGTGCTTGGCTGAAGGGCAGGGAGGAGTGCTTCAGCCCTTCGTTTGGGTTTAAATAAAAGAATATGTGCTTCTAGTAAAGCTGTCAGATGTGACAGAGAGATGGATATTATTTCTTAAACATCTTTCTGGGAATTTCGTGTGTGTGTGTGTGTGTGCATGTGCACGCGTGTGTATTCTCCCCCCACCATAGGACCGTTCTTTGACACTGCTTTACATCTGCTCCTTTCATTTAATTATATAACATCTAATTATGTTATATAAAAATGCCCTGGTGCTAGGCACTGTACCAAGTTGTTCCACACATTACTCATTTCATCCCCATAGTCCCATGAGGAAAGTATTGTTGTTGCTACTCCCATTTTACAGACGAAGAAACTGAGTCACACAGAAATGGACATACCCAGGGTCACAGCCAGTGGCCAGCAGAGCTAGGATGCCAACAGACAGTCTGGCTCTGGTGTCTGTGCCCTTAATAGTTACATCTTCCTACGCTCTTGGGTATCTTCCCACACCCACAAAAACAGTTCTACCTCATTCTTTCTGGTGGCTTCTAATGTGCCATTCACTTAGCTAATAATTACGTTTATATAGTAATTACATGTATCACATTAGTTACATTTAGGTTGTTTCCTGGTTGGGGTCATTACAGACTCATCTAACAAACACCCTTTCCCATTTATCTCTGTGTTTACAGGACAAATTCCTAGCGGTGGACTTGATAGGTTGAAGGGAGCAAGCCTTTTGTTTTATGCTTGATTTAGTGTTATTTTGGGAACATCTTAAGTATGGACAGGTTCAAAAGCCAAAACTAGATAAAAATGTGCCCACAAAACCCTCCCCTCCATCCCTCCCCACCCCCTCCATCGCCTCCCCTCCTTTCTCCTGGAGCTGTTACTTTTCATTTTCCCTTCTAGTGCTTCTTTTTTCAGGTACTAGAAAATCTTTGGGCTCTTTCAAATATGAGACCATAGTGCATATTTCTCCCCTGCCTTGCACAAAGTGAAGCAGCCTGTGTATAGTATTCAGCCCTTTGGAGAGGACATTTGGATTTGCAAAGCGTCTTCCAGCTCCTTTTGAAGGAGGAGGAGAGAAGTCAGGGCTGGGTCCACCAGCAGAGGAGGTCTAACCTTGGAGGGAGCCACAGACTCTCAGAGGTGCCGTTTCCCTTCCTCCCACCACCTGCTCTGCGCTTCCCCCAGAGGGCAGGCCTGTTTTTGGCTTGTACACGAGGGGCAGAGGCGGTGAAATCTGAGCTTGTGTATAAAGGATGGAGAGGGTCTCACTGAGTTCTTTGTGGGTTCATTTTCTTGTCACCCAGGAGTCAGGGCCCAGTGACATTTGTTCATTCTACTCTGCTAGGAATATGCGCTGGGCATCTTCTTTGTCCCAGGCCGGGCACTGGGCAGCGGGGGCAGGAAGATGGGCAGCACAGGGCAGCCCATCTCAGCAACCCCCCCCCGCCGGTGTGCTCACCGGCAGCACCCTCAACAGCCCCTTGGGAGCTCCTCACCCTTCGGGGCTCAGCCTCCCGCACTTTCCCGCTTGGGGCATGTTCGCCCATGGTGTGTTCTCAGCGCCCCTCCATCTCTCTGGCCCTCCGAACTGTCCTAACCATGAGATCCCAGCAGAGCTCGGGGCTCGGGGTGTGCCTTTGCCTCTTGACTGCGAGCTTTTGCACACGGGGGCCAGTTCTGGGTCGAGCTTGCCGTTGTGTCCACAGTGCCTGGTGCTTAGCGGGTGCCCAGTGAGGATTTGCGGAACCAATGAAGAGACAGAAGCACGCTGTTGACTCTAGGGATGGTACCTGTGTGATGGGCCTCACGGGGGTCTTTCCTCCTTCCTTTCCAGAAGCCCCCCTCCACCCTCCCCTCCCTTTTGCCACCTTCCGATTCAATTGTCTGTCAATTTCGCCCCATCCGCCTCCGACATCTTCCCTCCCGGTCTGTCTGCTTCCAGTGCAGCCCCCCACATCCCCGTGGGCACACACCCTCATGAGCCGGCTGATTGGAATCTGTTAATTAATGTCGCCCAAGGCCTCTCCCGCTCAGAGGCCCGATAAGGGAAATTGGATGTCCATTCTATCTGCCTTTTATTACCTCCCAGCTGTCCCTGCCACCACAGGCTGCCACACACCCCCTTGCGTACCGGGATCTAGACAACACGCACGCACCTGGCCCCCTGGTGCCACAGCCTCTCCCCGAGGAGGCACGTTGGTCCAGGCCCGCCCCTGTCTGTCCGTGTCATTGCCCAGCTGTTTGTCAGTCACCCGCGGATGCTGGCAGCCAGGTGATGAGCCAAGGCCAGGGGTGTACAGATCGTACTCAGGAACCATGATGACTGGACTGAGAGGCTGCTCCCCAGCAGAGGGGGACCCGCCTGGTTGAAGGGGCTTCCACCCTGGAGTGCCCCCTGAAGTTGAACACTCGTGTGCTGGTTGGAAGGGGAACAGTGGGGTTTAGACTCAGGGGAGAGCAGGGGAGAGTAGGACAGACTCCATGGAAACCAAGAGTGATGGGCCTGTCTAGGAGCTCAGGACCACCCCAGGCCTCCAGCCATGCCCAGAAGGGAGAGGAGAGTCATGCCGACAGCATGCTAATAACAGAAACAGTAATAATAACGACCATCTCAGGCATCAGCCTTGCTCAGGCTCGCTGGGTGCCAACGGTGTGGGGAGTGGAGCTGGGTGCTGTCCGTGCACCACCTTTTTACCCTCGAAGCCCCCATATCTGCGCTGTGCCCACACAGGGTGAGGTGCCAGGTCAGCAAGTGAAGTAGAGGCCCACCCACATAGGCATACTCACCCCCAGAAATCCCCTCCTTCTAGTTGCCCGTGACGCGTGATGCAAAGGGCTTTGTGGATGCTCGTTCTTTCCTTCAGTCTGGCATATGGTTAGTGCGGCGGCCAATCGCTGAGTTTCTGGCTGAAGTTACCACCTTGTGTTTAGTGACTGAGATGTTTGAAAATCAACTTCCCCTCCCACTCCTCTTCTTCCTCCTCCTCCTCCCTTGCCTACTTTTTCTCTACCCTCCCTCTCAAATCAAGATGTTAATTGTTCGTGCCTAGAGTCAAGTGCAGGTATAATGCAATTCCAGATACTATTCTCATTTCGTAGATGAAGACTTTTCATCTCATCATCAATAACAATTGTACGAGCTCAGTGAACACAGTGTATATTCCACAATCATTGTCTCATTTCGACCTCAATGCGAGTCTGAAGTGGGTGCTACAGTTCTACCCATTTCATAGAAGAGGACACTGAGGTTTGGGGCAGTTAACACAGCTTTCACATGGTCAGCCTACAGCTAGGAAAGGGGAAGTCAGGATTCAGGCCCAGGCAATCTCCTGAGCACGTTGGACAAGACGGTGACATAATTCTGGAGCCATCCCCCTTGCTGACCTCCTTTCGCTCTGGAGTAAGCATCCTTGCTAGCAAGGAAGGGGAAACTCCCATGATTCTAAGCTCACAGAATGCAGGACAGCTTGGGTCATTGTTAGGTGGAGAGTGATGGCCAGGGCAGCAGGGGTCTGACCCCAGGAGGACAGGCTGCCTGTGAGAAAGTGCCCTCTGACCCTGTAGGCTCTTGAGCTCTTAGCCCCAGGCTGCGGTCACTGGCGGGGTGGGGGGTCATCACTGGCTGGGAACAGCTGAGTCCTTCCTGGTTGGGCCGTTGGGTCAACACACACAGCTGAGACTCTGCACTGAGGACCAGGTGTCACTTTAAAACACCAAAACCTCCCCTGGTTGAGCAGAGAGAGGAATCTGGAAAGTCCCCTGGGGGGAGAGGACCCTGTACTGCCACCTTTCGATTCTACTGTGAATTTAATAACTCCTTAAATTACAGATGCATTTAATTAATCAAAAAACTTCTACAGACATTCGAAAAAGAGCATAGAACTAACAGTAATAGTGATAACAACTGTCAACATTGACTGAGCTCTTGTTGTGTAAGTCTTTCCCATGAATTCCCTGTCTGACTCATTGACCAAGGGAAGGACAAGGAGTCCAGCCGGTACAGAGGGAGGGGCAGGATCCAGAGGTGCCCAGGACCACCTCCTCCAGCCAGCCCACCTGATTGCTGCTGCCCTCCTTGCCTCTTCTTCCCACAGGCTTCTCGAACCTCTCTCTCGGGGACCAGATGAGCCTGCTGCAGAGTGCCTGGATGGAGATCCTCATCCTGGGCATCGTGTACCGCTCACTGCCCTATGACGACAAGTTGGTGTATGCCGAGGACTACATCATGGACGAGGAGCACTCCCGCCTCGCGGGGCTGTTGGAGCTCTACCGGGCCATCCTGCAGCTGGTGCGCAGGTACAAGAAGCTCAAGGTGGAGAAGGAGGAGTTTGTGACGCTCAAGGCCCTGGCTCTGGCCAACTCAGGTAAAGACGGGTGTGGGACCCACAGAGGGAGCTTCGAGAGGTCTCGTTGGGCCCAGGGAGCACAGCTCTGGGGACTGTGAGCAGGGCCACCATGAAGGGGGGATGGCATGAAGATGCCGGAGCTTCTAGTCACCAAAGACGGCAGGGGTTGGCGTGGAGCTGAGAGGGTGGTGATGAAGGCCAGCAATAGGCAGCTGCCCTGGATTTGCAGGGCACTAGACTCGGCTTCTAATGTCTAGCCCGACACACTGGTTAAGGACACAGATTCTATAGCCAAGTTGCTAAGCGTCAAATCCTGCTTCGACCACTTGGGCAAGTCACTTCCCTCTGTGCCTCATTTTCCTCATCAATAGAATGGGAACAATGAAGAGTCCCTACCCCACCAGACTATGGAAGGGATTTGTTTATATATGATTATATTATACTCAACAACATGCCCGGTGCATAATAAGTGTTCAGCCTGTTAAATAAATTAGCTATGAACTTACTTAATTCTTACACACAATCCTATGAGCAAGGTTCTCATGATTTTAACCCCATTTTACAGATGTGGGAATTGAGGCCTGGGGAGGTGAAGAAAATTGCCCAGGGTGACACTGTTAAGGGGTGTCAGAGCTAGGACTCGAACCAAAGTCCTCTGATTACAAAATCACCCCCCAGCTTATGACTCTCCTTGAATCTCCCAAATTGCTCAGGTACAAGAGAGAAAAACCTGCCCAACTGAGTTGTCTGGACTGTCATTAAAAAGGAGGCTTCAGGGGGCGCCTGGGTGGTTCAGTCGGTTAAGCGTCCGACTCTTGATTTCAGCTCAGGTCATGATCTCAGGGTCCCCGCGTCTGGCTGTGTCCTCAGTGGGAAGTCTGCTCGAGGATATTCTCTCCTCCCTCTGCTCCTGCCCCTGCTCTCTAGCTCTCTCTCTCTAAAGTAAATAAATAAATCTTAAAAAAATTTCTTTAATTAAAAAAATAAAAAGGTTTCACTCCATTCCTTCAGCCCCTTCCAGCTTCTGGTTGGAATCTCTGGGGAGAGGGGCTGGGCATTGGCGATGCAGGTGAGCGAGCTGAAATGTATTCTGTCTCCACGGTTAGGGAGCATCTCCACTGTGCCAAGTTGGCGCGGGGTGGAGAACGCAGGAGAAAGTCAGGCTCCCTATCCTAAAGAGAGAGTGTCAGGCCATTTTGCTATAGGGCAGTGTCTGCTCAAGTCTGGGTCAGAGGGACCCAGGTTCAAATTACAGCTCTGACACTTAGTAGCCGTGTGACGTTGGGCAAGTTGGCAACCTTCCTTAGCCCTGTCCTTGGGTATGAAGTGGGGACATCCCGGTACCGCCTCCAAGCACTTTGCTATTAAATGATCGACTGAAGATAAAGCACTTAGCCCAGTGCCTGGCCTAGAGGAAATGTTCAATAAATATTAATTATCATCATTACTATTAATATTAGAGGAAACAAAGTGTTATCAGCGCAGGGAAGAGTGGGAGCTAGTTCCCAGGTGGAGACAGTACACATAGGGTGACCAGAGCTAGTTCCCAGGTGGAGACAGTACACATAGGGTGACCAGCTGGTTTGCTTGGTACTATTATGCTTTCAGTGAAAGTCCTGTGTCCCGGGAAACCTCCATCCCTGGCAAACCCAGACAGTTGGTCCCCCTAACAAGTAGCTTCATAGAGAATGCAGGGGATGCTGCAGATACCCTGCTCCGCCCCCCTTCACTGGGTTAGTGCTCTCATGCCCCAGCTGCTGAGTTTTGCTGCTAAGAGCTCCTAGCTGCCCCCTTCACCAAGACCTCCCCTCACCTGCCTTGCCTGGAGAGTTGAGTACGGTGGCATCTTCAGCCAGTGGTGACCCACACAGGGGAACAAAGGTTGGCTCCTGGCACGGTGGGATCAGAGCTTTGCATGGATCAGGCCAAAGCCAAGGCCATGTCCTCACCTTGCTTGCTCCCACCCTCACCGTATCCTGCCTCCCTCCCTCCCTCTCTCCTGAAAGCACATCCTCCAGAAGTCCCGTGCACCTGAACCCTGGTTTTGGGCTCTGCTTTTGGAGAACCTGATCTAATCCAGAGAGGCAAGCCTTTTATTATTTTTTTTTTTTAGTTTAATTCCCTTTTATTAATAAACAAATGCAGGGGCGCCTGGGTGGCTCAGTCGGTTAAGCGTCTGCCTTCGGCTCAGGTCATGATCCCAGGGTCCTGGGATCGAGCCCCACATCGGCTCCCTGCTCCGTGGGAAGCCTGCTTCTCCTTCTCCCACTCCCCCTGCCTGTGTTTCCACTCTCGCTGTGTCTCTCTCTGTCAAATAAATAAAATCTTAAAAAAAAATAAAAAATAAAAAATAAACAAATGCAAAATAATAATGAAAATTTTTACAGGCTTCTATACAGACCATTTACATTTTAAGATTCCAAAATGGTAGTGTATTCTTTGTGAGAGAATGCTAATCCTATTGGGTTTTTTAAAAAGTGGTTTTAAATTTACAGAATAATGGAGCAGATGGAGCGACAGTTCTATGCCCCCATCCCACCCACATCTACCACTTGCATCCACCTCCTCCCTGTAGTTTCCCCCATTGTTCATATCTTGTATTGGTATGGTAATTTGTTACAATTAATGAGCCAATATTGATACATTATTACGAACAAAAGTCCCTAGTTGCCATTAGGGTTTACTCCTTGTGTTGGTGTGGGTCTGTAGATTTGACAAATGGGTAGTGACAGAATTCCCCATCACCTCCCCTACAGAGCAGTCTTACCCCTCGTGAGCCTGTGCTCACCGACTCTGAGGGAAGCACCGGGACCAGCCCTGCAGAGGGGCTGGGAGTTGGCGTGGGCGGAGGGAACACGGTGGCAGCAGAGGACACGGAGTGGGAACGGCGAGACCAGCACGGCTGCCAGGCCTTGGAGGGCACGTCCTTGATTTTAGGCTCTCCTGACCGTTTCTCACCTGACGTAGAGCTCGAGCTGGTCCATGCTGGGGGAGGAGAGTGAGGAGGTGGGAGGCCGCTCAGCGGTCACCTCCTCCCCACCGCTGCACATCAGGCTGTGCCGGCTTTCAGATGGCTTTTTAGGTTAGCTGGCTGCTCTTGCTCTGATCTCTGATCTCTGATCTCACACGTACACACACACAAATGCACACAGACACGTGCATGTGCTCACACGTACACATGCATGCACACATACACACGTGCCCACACATACCCACAAAGACATGCATGCACACATACAGACACATGTGAACATGCTCACACACATATTTATGCAAAGACACGTGCACATGCTCACACATACACAAAGACGTGTGCACACAGACACGTGCACATGCTCACACAGACATGTACACATAGACACGTGCACATGCTCACGATGTGCGTACACACAGACACATGGGCACGTGCTCACATGAATACACACAAAGACATGCATGCACACATACAGACACGTGCACACGCTCACACATACATGCATGCACACATACACGTGCACACACTCACATGCATGCACACAGACGTGCACAGGCTCACATACACAGATGCATGCACACATACACATGTGCACACGCTCACACATGCATGCACACATACGCATGCACAGGCTTACACATACACAGACGTGCATGCACACATACATGCTCACAGACACATTGACATGCGTGCACACACAGACATGCATGCAGATAAACATGCATGCTCACAAGTATAGACACATACACATACTTGCACACATGCACATATTCACAAATACACACATGCCTATGCACACTCATGCACACATACACACGTGCAGATATGTACACACACGTACGCACACATGCACACACGCACACACAGCACCTGACGACTGGCCGTGGTTTAGTAACACGAGTCCACTGGCAGCCTCACTAGCATCAGGCGTGGCCTGAGTACGCAGTCATATGAGATGAAACGCCACGAGTCTGCCCCTCTTGCCCCCGTGGCATCTCCCAGGCCATCCTGCAGCTGTGCGCAGGTACGAGTAGTTCCCAAAGAGGCGGGGTTTGTGCCGCACAGGCCCCAGCTGCGGGTGGAGCGATCACCTGGGGCAGGAAGTCGGAAAGAATAGGCCTATTGCAGGTAAGGCCAGAAAAGCGGGTTGGGGTCAGACCAGAGGCTCTAGGGCTGTGAAGGCACTGGCTTGTAATCGGGTTGGTCCAGGGGGCCGCGAAAGGAGGTGCAGCAAGATAGGAAAGTCACCCAGTCAGACAGAGTTAGCGGGAGGAGAGACAGGTGCCTGGACATCATTGGTGTGGGCCCGGTGGCCGCCCCCAGGGCCACCGTGGGTGCCACTGCTGAGCTTGAGCACGTGGGATGGGACCATTCCAGTGGCTCCAGGGGCTGACGCGAAGCAGAAGCATGAAGCACGTCAGAGACAGGCTGGGTCCCCAAACCCCAGCCCCTCAGGAGCCTGCTGGCCGTCTTTCACCCCAAGTCCCAGCCATCTCCAAGGCTCCCTGACAGCAGAAAAATTCATAGCCATTGATTTTGTAATTAACAGTTTATCAATGCCATCGATACAGACTCGCTGATGGATTGCAAAGAAATTAATCTTGCAATGTTATTTTATTTCATTTTTGGTCGAAGGCAGCTGCCAATTTTGGCCTCCTTGGGGAGGGCGGGGGAGGGAGTTCGGATGGCCACGTCCCAGCCTTAGAGGGACCCACATCTTGGGTACACATTCTGGAACCAGCTGAGAGTGTAGGAATGGAGCCACGCTCCATCTCCTAGTGGCAAAGGAGTCCTCGCTGCTTTGGTAACAAGGGGCAGAACAGTGGAGGCGTCTTGGGTAGGGGGCCAGTGCACCCCAGCACGCTAAAGCCATTTGCCCCAGGCTAGGTCCTCACAGTGACGGTAATGCTGCATTTATCAGGTGCTTACTAAGTGCCTGGTAATGTGCTGTTTCTTTTAATCAATCCTCACCACTACCCTATATGAGGCATGGAGACATTTGCTCCGTTGCAGAGATGAGGACACAGTCTCAGAGAGCCTAAGTAACTTGGCCAAAATAACACAGCATCTTAAGACTCCAGAGTCTTACCTTCCTCATTCCGCTTTTCTCCCAAGAGGAAGAGGCAGGACCTTGGAGGCATGGGCTGAGTGTGGCTGCAGAAGGTCAGGAGTCACTGGGGTCGGCCAGTTAGAACAGTGACCCTTGGCGGTTTGTGCCTAAGCTAACCCGGCACGCAAAGGCATTGCCCTGCTCTTTTGAGGAACTCGGCAGCCTCGCCCCGCCTTCCTTGGCAGTCTGCCCAGAGCTTCCAGCTCACTTGACCCATAAGGCACCCTTGCCTTCCCGCCTTTGGCAGGCAGGCATTGGGCGCTGCAGTGCAGGGTGGTGGCTCGAGCTCTTTAAGGAATGTCAGGAGAAGGCGGGTTGTTTTCCCTGAGTCCCCGGATTGGGTGCCAGGAAACGGCCTTGGCTTCAGCTCAGCCCCCGCTGTAAGCCAGCTGTCAGCAGGTGCCCGCCTGTCCTGCTGGATTTAGGTAACTTCCATTTGAACCCCTAATTCATGCCTGAGTCCGGAGCCCTCCTCGGGATTTTTAGAGGACTCCCAACAGCACCCGCCATCGCTGTGGCCCATGCGTCCAGCCATGCTGTCTCAGGCCCCCACCAGGCCCCCCGCCACAGGGCACCTGGGCACAGAGCTCAGCCCCTTTGTGTTTGCATTCTGTGTAAGCATTCTGTCAGGTCAGTGACCGCCCCGGAGACGAGCTGGTGCCTGGTGGCAGCAACAACAGTAGTCCAGTGACGATGCTGGTCATGATGCCACCAGCCGGGCACTCCCTTTGGGACAAGTACTGTTTTCAGTCCTTGACCTGTACTAACTCATTTAACCTCTTGAGGTAGGTGTGGCCAGTATCTCATTTACCAAATGAGAAAAATAAGGCACAGAGAAGTTAAATAACTTGCCTAAAGTCACACAGCTGGCAAGTGAGGGACACAGGACCCCAACTCCACTGTCCACCTGGCACCTCCAGGGCAGGGACTGCGGTCTGCTGCCGGTCGAGTCCTTCAGGGTCTCCGCCGCTGCCTCCCGGTGGTTTCCCGGGAGATGACCTTCCGACATCCAGATGGCTCCCCGGCTCCAAGCCTCAGCTCCGTCCCGCGCCTCTGTGACCTCAGGCTGGCAGCTTAGCCTCTGCGAGCCTCCGTCCCCTTCTCTGTAAAGTGAGGGTGTGGGGGGCAACAGCGCGGGCCCCCCCCACCCCGTGCCGGGGCGGCCGGCTGCGCGCGCTAACGCTCCCCCTGTGCCCGCAGATTCCATGTACATCGAGGATCTGGAGGCGGTGCAGAAGCTGCAGGACCTGCTGCACGAGGCGCTGCAGGACTACGAGCTGAGCCAGCGCCACGAGGAGCCCCGGCGGACGGGCAAGCTGCTGCTGACGCTGCCCCTGCTGCGACAGACGGCCGCCAAGGCCGTGCAGCACTTCTACAGCGTCAAACTGCAGGGCAAGGTGCCCATGCACAAACTCTTCCTGGAGATGCTGGAGGCCAAGGTCTGATGGCCCGGCACCCGGACCGACTCCCGCCCGCAGACACACCGGCCGACTGACCGCCGCGGACACGTCTGCGGCCACCAGCCTCGCCCTTCAAGCCCTGTATCATGGCCATGAGCAGCCCCAGAGGAAGGGCGCGCTCGCCTCCGGGCTGTGGCCGAGTCCCGAGTGCAGCGGGGCAGGGGAACAGGGAGGGGAGGGCAGGGCGTGGGCTCCTCTGTAACCGGCTTTTTCTTTGGTATGTTTTTTCCTTCTCCGTGGGCAGTGCTGAGGTCTGGGCCAGGGCTGACTCCCTTGAGACTGGAGACCATCGAGGAAGCGGCCCCCCCCTGCCTCCAAACCCCCAAGAGACGGCAGTGCATATCCTAGCCCCACCCCCGCCCCATCCCCATCCCCCCCCCCATGCACTGGGTGGGCAGTGCTCAGCGCCCAGGACCCCACCCAATTCAGGCTGGGTGCCACCGGAAATTGTCCCTTCCCAGCTTTCTTCCGGAGGCCCCGCCTACTCTGAGGTTCTTTGGGGCCCCTCCAGAGGCCCCACACCTTCCCCAGTCCAGGCGGCTCCTGTCCTGCAGCCTTTCAGCCTGGCGCACATGCAGCTCCCGTTAGGGACTCACCGTCCAGAGAGCAGCTGCCAGAGCCTGTGCATCTTCCTGGGCTCCACCCCTCGGTGCCCTCCCACCTGCTGTCACCACGGCACCAAGGCCCACCTGTCTTCGTCCTTTCCCCTCCCCTCCCAAGAGATCCCTGCTGCATCCTGCCCCTACCTCAGAGCTCAGTGGGTTCAGCCAGCCAAGGTGACTTCAGGTCTATAGCTGGGAACAGTGCTGGCTCGGAGAAGAGCAGGGTCCAGGCAATATTCCCCAGAGCTCCCCCTTCTGCTTGCTTCTCCCCCCCCCCCCCCGGTCAGCCTTCAGGGCAGGTCCGGAGCAGGTGGGCCTGTGGGAAGTTGGGGAGTCTAGGGGCCTAGCCCCCTCTGAGGGCACCCTGGGCACTGATTTCCAGGCTGGCAGTCCTGGGAGGATTGGGGCAAGATGGGGAGAGGTTTGAACCAATTTTTGCTGAGCACAGAAAGCCTCAGAAGCGAGATAAGCAGGCGGGGAACCCTGAAGACGGGGCACTCGCAAGTTGCCAGCCAGCCGAGGGGCTGGCTTTTGTGGGCAGTAGACAGGTCACCCCGCGCCCTGCATTCCAGAGGGTTGGGCAAATCTGTCACAGGAGGGGCGAGGTGTGACGTAGCTCCCGTATCTCCCCGAGTACACTGAGAAGGCCCAGCTGTGTGGCAGGACACTCCCCACCCCCCCACGCCCCCGTCTTCCTAGCTGCTGTGTCAGGTGACTAACCAGCCCGGTTTGCCCAGGATGTTCCTGGTTTTAGCGCTGAAAGGCTGTGTCCCGGGAAACCCCTCAGTCCCAGGCAAATGGGGACAGTCACCAGACTTCTGTGAGCGGCCTCAAGGGTCGGTTATAACCCACTCGGGGCACCCTTAGCGCCCCCTCTGCTACACACAGGTTGGCCCATGGTAGCTCAGGGCCCCCCGAGGATGAAGGGGGGGTCGGGCGTGCTGGGGAAAGCCCCTTCCGAGCAGCTGCCTTTGAAGCGGGGATCAGAGCAGCCCTACCTGGGACACTTGTGGGGGATCTGCACCCATGGACCCCGACCTCCTGGCACGCGGAGAGGCGGGCGGATCGGCCTGCCCATCGCCAGGTACCCGGGGGCCAGGTGCCGTCTCCCACAGCCCTGTAGCTTCCATGGGAGCAGCTGATGCTGGTTTCGCCTTGCTGCCTCTCCCCACCCCCCATCCCCAGACCCCACCATCTGAACTGTGCTAGGACCTGCTGAGGTCACCCCAGGCCTGAGGGTTGGCCAAGACCCAGCAGCTGCCCAGGGGCTCTCTGATGTCCTCATGTACGACATAGAAAGTGTTCCAAGAGGCCTCACAGCCCAGCGAAGTGTGCTGTCCCGTTAGCCTGTGGGGAATGCAAGGCCGCAGCCACTGACGGTCTGCGTTGGAATTACTGCCCAGGATGCTTCATCCCTAGCTCTCTGGGCAGTCCCGATGCGGGTGGGCGCACAGGCATCGAAGCATCGAGGGACCCGAGCAAAGCCCCCAGTCTGACAACTGGTAGGAGCGATGCCCTAAGGTCCGAACTCGAGGTCCCTCACGGTGAGAGAAGCCGGGGTCTGCTCCTTGGGAGCCTCCCCCCAGCCTCCTGCTGTGCTGTGTGCTTGAGGAGGGGGCGCTGAGGGTGGCACCCCGGCACGAGCGTGAGGCCAGGGCCCGTGCGCAGCTACCGTTTGCTGCCCATCCTTTTTAGGAGAAGCATCTCAGCTGCTGGTACAACTGGTTGGGGGTGGGTGGGTGTTGCGTACATAGTGTGTGGATGGATCCGGGGCTTCTGCAAGTGTCCTGCTATCCGAGCCCCCCTCTAACAGTGAGGGGGAGGCGGCGAGCCCGATGGCTCTGTGCCAGGGAGCTGGATGCTGCTCGTACCCTGAAACCCCGGTGGCCGTGGGAGGTGGATCTGGCACAATGGGATCCCTGGCCACCAGGAAAGGCCCTGGTGTGTACGAACGGAGCCACTGGATGTGCAAAGAAAAAATGGAGGCCAACTTCTTGGTTGGAGGCCTCGCCAGCTTTGGGGCCTCCTGGGAAGAGGGGGGCCCTGACTTAGTGGGGGATGGTGAAGCGAGGAGAATTTAGGACACCCACCCTGCCCCCAAAACGGGATGGAACTCGCACACGCACACACACACACAAACCCCGAATCTGCTGTTCCTGGAAAATCTGTAAAGAGGAAATTGTGCCCTTCTCACTTGTACTCTCATGATACAGGTCATTGAAATGAACCAAGAAATAAAATGTAAAAATCCAACCGTGGAGAAGGTGGTATTGGCTGGGTTTTGTTTGGTCCCCATGTCCCCACCCTTTCTATAGCTTCTAGACTGGTTTTGTCGCACGTGAACCTGGGTAGTGGCCCCCAGTGTTTGCATCGAGGAAACCAATGATTTCCAAGGCGATGATTGAAGAAACGAGTAGGAAGATCTCAAGACCGGAGCAGGGCATTGGTGGGGAGGCCAGGCAGGGGCTTTCCTCCCCTCCTCCAGACCCTCCCCTCCCCCTGTGCAGATGGGAGAAGTCCGGAGGGGGGTGCGGGGGGGGCGGTGACAAACAGGACAAGAACACAGAGGCCCGTGCCCACGGAACAGCACCAAAGAAAAGCACGATGTAGAAAGATTGTTTTATTTTCTGATAATGATTAAATGGCTGGAATGGCTTCTTAAGATGTATATATTTTTTAAAATGGCAGTCCCTCATTGCATCCCCCTCTGTACGTATTTCTTCCTGTGTGTGTGTTCTCCCCCAGACCCCGACCCCGTGTAATTCAAATGCCCTAGGATTCTTCTGTCCCGGTCCCATGCATCTGGCATCTAATAAATAAGGAATGGCTTGTTGGAGAGTTTCTTCACACATGACCTTTCCGGGCTTGCTGTCCCCTGGATAGCACTGCCCTCAAGCCTCAGGCCAGTCCTGGGCCTGGCCATCAGGAGAACGAGCTCAGCCTCAGAGTTCTCTGGGTGTTCAAGTAGGCATTTTAAAAGCATGTTCAGCAGCAAAGCTTCAGGAATGCAACTTGAGAAATAACAATACATAGGTAAGGTCTGAGAAGTCCCCTGCTACTTTTTAGACTTTTGGCATTAATGTGAGGCACTCTATTATCTTCATTTATACCAGAAAAATGGAACATCACATGTATGTGAACCAAAACAGTTCACTGCCTTAGGATTCTGAAATGCATCTGTGTATGCATGCCCATAATGCTGACTGCACAAAGGACCCACGTGTCATCCACACTTGGGAGCAGTGAGAAGCAGAGGGGATGGCCTGAAAGAAACTGAGGAGCACTGTATCAGGATGCCTTTCATTGCAAGTAAAAGACACCCCAATTTATATCAGCTAGTGGATTTATTGTCTTGGACTTATGTGAAGTCCAGAAGTGGGGCAAGCATCAGGTAGGGTTTGATCCAGAGGTTCCCAAAGTCAATAGCACAATGGCTCTGCTTCTCTGGTTCTCTCAATTCTGCCCTCTTCTGTCTGCTTTGTCCTCAAGCTACCCTCTTTCATGGTAGCAAGGCTGCCAGCTTTTTATTTCACATTGTAAGGAGAGAGAGAACATCTCTTCCTACAACCATGGAAAGTATCTGAGCATCATTCTGAATCCCAATGGCTCTTTTGCTTATCTCTTAAGGGATCATCGGGACCAGCTTCAGGGGGTACTAATCTGTCTCATTTGACTCTCCAGCTGTTACACAAAATGGGTTGAGTTGGAAGTCTAGAACACCAGCCAACCATGATGCCCACAGAACTCTCATACATGGACAGTTCAGGCTCTGGTCAACTTTCAATGAGCTGTTCCTAAGTTTTCTGAAGCTCTTGGAAGATCACGTTCACATAGCAAGCAGTCTTTGAACTTGATACTTAGCAAGTCTTATGCATGAAATGTATTAGGGGAATGTTTTGTGGGAATGAAAGTACCCAGTTTGTGGATTATTTTTAGGTAATTTCCCAATGTACCCTCACTACCTCACATGTGTGCATGCATACACACTTATACACACACAGACACACACAGGGGTAGTCATGCTGCCACCTTAAGAAAAAATAATCAGGAAAGACAGTCAACCATAACATCCCATAATATGACCAAAATAGAAATATTATTGGACTATCTGTATTTTAGGATTTTCTATACTACTACTTTCATCTGTATGAATAATTGTGATCAGACTAGCTAATAGCTCATCTTCAAAAAGACTTAAACCTCATTCATCTCTTTATCTCTCTTCATTCATTGTCCAAATATTCTTCCCTTTTTGTTACCAAAGAAGTGAAAGGGGAAAACACAACTTAGGGTCATTCATTCATTCAACAAATAATCTACTGAGGGTCTGCCCTGTGCCAGGCACTGTTCTGGGCACAGAGACTATATCAGTAAAGAGAACAAGCACAATCTCTATTTTCATGGAGCACACAGTCTAGTGGGAGGAAGAGAGAGACAATGAGCACAATAAACAACCAAATTACATAGTTTGTTAGATAAGTTCTGTGAGGGAAAAGGCAGGGTATGGGGGGTCAGGAATGGGGAGGTAGGATATAATTTTAAGAGGAATGGTCAGAGCAGCCTCAGTGAGAATGTTACATGTAACAGTAAGGTGAAGAAAGTGAGGGCCACGTGGGTGTCTGGAGAAAAAGGTCTCCAAGCAGCAGGACCGGCACGTGCAAAGGCCCTGGTGTAGCAGTATGCCACGTGTGTTCAGTGAACATCAAGGAAACAAGTATGGCTGCAGTGGAATGGGTGAGGCAAGCGGGGAATGGGGCAAGTCATGCAGGGAACGTGAGGCCATAGTAAGTGAGCCTTTCACTTAGAGTGAAGTGGAAGTGGAAGTGGGAGTGGAAGATTTTGCATAGAGGAGCGCCATGATCACACATCTCAACAGGAGCCTTTGCCGTATGGATATGAAGCTGTAGGAGGACCTGGGTGGAAGACCAGCTAGGAGACCACGGATGAGGTGGCTGGCTTGGACCAGAGTCAGAGGAGAGCAGGTAGGAAGAAGCCCTTGGGTCCTGGGTCTAATTTGAAGCAACCAGGGTTGCCATCCATCGAGGTGGAAAGACGCAGAGAAGGCAAGCCTGGGGGCTAGGTGGCAGAATCAACCACGCTAAGTTAGAGATGCTGTTGAATGTCCAGGCAGAGATGCCAGGAAGGCAGCAGGCCACAGGGACAGCGAAATAGGGAGCAGCGAATGAACTTCATCGGTAACAGATGTTCAGACAGGATCTCACACCCAGCCAACGCCCTCCGTTGCTCTCTAGCCTCAAAAGCAGTAAAGTAAAACTCATCTTAGAAACAGGTTTCCAGGGGCGCCTGGGTGGCTCAGTGTCTGCCTTTGGCTCAGGTCATGATCCCAGTCCTGGGATCAAGCCCCGCATCGGGCTCCCCGCTTGGCAGGAAGCCTGCTTCTCCCTCTCCCGCTCCCCCTGCTTGTGTTCCCTCTCTCGCTATCTGTCTGTCAAATAAGTAAAATCGAAAGGAAGGAAGGAAGGAGAGAAAGAAAGAAAGAAAGAGAAAGAAAGAAAGAAAGAAAGAAAGAAAGAAAGAAAGAAAGAAAGAAAGAAAGAAAGAAAAGAAAGAAAGAAAGAAAGGAGAAAGAAACAGGTTTCTGGAGCAGAAGGGGCTTAGGGATCATCTTTTTATGCCATTATTTGACAGTTGGGAGAACTGAGCCTGGACTCTAGCCTTGCCCTCAATTCTCGAAAACAGTGCAGGGTGTGGACTGGGAGATGCACAGCTGCTTTCTTGGTTTGGACCAGCGGTTCTCAAGTGGGGTGACTGTGCCCCCAAGGGCATGTTTGGCAATGTCTAAAGATGTCTTTTGTTGTCATGCTAGAGGTGTTGCTGGCATCTAGTGGGTAAGGCCAGGGGATGCTGCTACAGCGCACAGGACGGCCCCACACGCAGGCTCACCCGACCCACAGTGTCAACAGGGCTGAGGCAGAGACACCCTGATCTACACCTATTCTGGGCATCATCAAGATAAGAACACTCAGGATTCCACAGAACAGAATTTGGGGGTGTCAACTCATTACTAAGTTCTTCCTGGTACTAGATGCCACCTCTACCCTGCCTGGTCTGGCTCTGACCCCAAAACATGTGTCCAGGGCAAACCCCCATGCTCTCCATGAGTGGCTCTTGTTCAGATCCAAGCAAAGGAAGGGAAGGGCAGGGGAGGGGAGGGGAGGGGAGGGAAGTGCCCGGGTCCTACCATCCTTAAGCGGTCAGGTCACGACCAGTTTCCTTTTGCTCAGAAACTTGAGGTTGGGGGAAACACCCATGGCTTCCTATCTGGGAGAAGGGGGGGACCCCTCTGGCAGACCTATGTGCTCCCTGTTTAAGGGTGCTCAGAACAGAGGTGACCACATCCGCCTCCTCCTAGCCCCACATGGCTCGCACCCATGACTGTCCCCACATTCTGCTCCATCTGTGGGTTTTCTCTTGTTACTCTCCTCCCTTGCCTGGGCTGGGCAGGAGAGCCTGTGTCCGGTGGTCAGAAGCCAGCCTTCTTCTCTACAGGGGGCTGGGAGGTGGGGGAGAGATGGGGTTAGGAATCTTCAGAGACCTTTTCTCTGGAAACTGGCCTCACTTCTGCAGACATCCCTCCCTTGTCAGCCAAATGCCCAGCCCATCTGTGCCAAGAGCCCTTCGGCAGCTGTCACAGGGCAAAGCGAAGGCCCTGGGGCTCTCACCTGGGTCCTGAAGAGTCTCTTCCCACTTCCCCTGTGGAGAATAGGGACAACCAGACCCTCCCGTCCCCTCTTCCCACAGGCAGACATGACAAGCCCCCACAATCAAGCTTGGAGCGAGGCCAAAATAGGGTGTGAAGGAGGGGGCCAGCCAGGCTCCCCAGCTGGCCCAGGATGACTTGAGAATGGACTGCACTTCCACCCCCGGGGCTCATTCTCAAGACCCCTCATTAAACACAAGTCCTAGACAAAGCCCCAATGCCCAGCCAGTCACTGTCAAAGAAACAACAATCCAGCAAGCCACAAAATAACCCAAAGTGACCCAAATCTCTACCCTAAGCATTGTCCACACCGTTCATGGGATGTTGCATTATTAATGCACTGCAAAACCACATCAGAGACCTCTTTTCTTCATCTCCCTGCCCCACACAGAGCCGCTCCTGCAAATCTCTCTTGCGCACCTCCAAACTGCCCCCAGCTTCCCCAGCTCAGCCTCCTGGGCGCCCCTCCTCAGACCTTCATCGGCTCTTCATTACCTAGGCCAGCTAAGCCTCTTGAGCTTCCTTCC